TAGTGCTGCTCCTCCTCCTCCTCCTCCAACTACTTCTGCTACGACTACGACTACTACGACGACGACTACTACTACTACGACGACGACGACGACTACGACGAAGAAGGCGACTACTGCCACTGCTCCTCTTGCTACTTCTCCTACCGCTACCACTACCACTCCACTACCACCTCCACTACAACTACCACCACTACTCCCACTACTCCTAATTACTACTACCGCTAGTACCACTACTACCATGCTACTACCACTATACACCTGCTACATACGACTACTGATCTCTCTGCTTGCCTCTACTACCACTGCTTCAAGCCCGACTCAGTGCCGGCAAGGGACGCTGTAGCGTCTTGCAGCAGTCTCCACTGACCTTTCCGGTAGTCTGTCCAAACACTGTTTTCGGTAGACGATAGCAAAAGACTCGAAGCCACAGGGTAAGGTTAGCGATCTAGCACTCAAAGATGAGGCGTTCAAGCATGATCTTCAGAAAACCACCCATCGCAACTTCGAATTGCCCCTGCAACGTTGCACAACTGCACCCTTCAGGTTGGCATCTCTTGGCATCTCAGACTGAGCTGGACTTGCACTGTCCCCTTCGGGCACCTCGGAGACTGGCAGCCATGGTTTGAAACCCTAAGCCTAAGCCCTAAACATTGCCGAAGGATGCAGCCACGTGGCGCCGCAGCCAATTAACGGGCGGCATCGTCTGGGCGTAGTCAGAGATTCCGGCTTGAGGGTAGTTGAGCCGCCCGTAAACCGATGGCAAAAAGGCAGTTCCTGTCTGCGTAATCAAATGGGTTAACCGGTTAACTTCAGAACTTCTGCTTTCTGTTCGCCCTTCTTGTCTTCCCCACCATGCAAACATCCAAAAGAGCCCATGTGAGTCTGAGCGGCTATGCGACAGGACTGTTGAGAGCGGATCGCGAGGTCATGCAGGTAGCCTCAATGAAGTCTTCTAGGCGGCAACTTAAAGCGTACGGAGCAGAGAAGCTTACAAGGTGCGGTGTTTGGGGAGGAAAGCCTTAAGCCTGTATCTCATGCAGTCCTCTCGGATTGCGGGACCAGGTTTGACGTTTCGAGGGCTTGGACTCTATATAACTGGTCTTCACGGGAAAGGAACTGCGGATTCCTCCGACAGCGACTGGTTAATTACTCTATACTGCGGTAGTGCGGTACCCGATGTACACTCGTGCGTGATAGTAGTGCGAGCCATCTAGAAAAAAACAGCTAGGCTCTAGAGTGCAGTGAGCATAGCGAGCCAGCAGTGAAAAGCACTAGTTGAGACAACAGTATCTCATGCCTGGGCCTGGGCCGATGATATTCTCCACGGGACAGCACCTACGGTCCCATGGTGCCATGAACAAAGAAGACTACCAGGATCGAAGTCAAGCACAAAATCATGTGAGCAGGGCCCTGTTGTTACTGGTGATATCTTTTGGTTGCTGCGGTTGATTGTTGCTGTCGTGGTCGTCGTAGTCGTCGTCGTCGTAGTAGCAGTGGTAGTAGTTGTTGTTGTAGCAGTATAGTAGTAGGTAGTACGTAGTACGTAGTACGTAGTACGTAGTACGTAGTACGTAGTACGTAGTATAGTAGTAGTAGTAGTAGTAGTAGTAGTAGTAGTAGTGGTAGCAGGTCGTACGTAGTAGCAGCAGCAGCAGCAGCAGCAGCAGCAGCAGCAGCAGCAAGAGCAGGAGCAGTGGAAGTAGCAGGAGAAGCGGTGTCAACGGTCAGTACCGATATCTCTGACGGATTACATGTATGAATATATATATATATATGCTTATATATGTATATGTATGTAATATATGTGCGTGTATGTATGTATGTATGTATGTATGTATGTATGTATGGATGTATGTATGTATGTATGTATGTACGTAGGTATGTATGTATGTATGTATGTATGTATGCATGTGTATATGTGTATATACATGTGTGTAGTCGTGAACTCTTGAATTTATGCTCTTCCTGCTGTCAACATGGTCACGGCCACATGAGCCCAATTACTACTGCATGCCAGGCATGGCCAAATAGAGCTGTAGGTGATGAAAGGGTTTTTGCTTCTGCTTCTCTGATTCGCAAGCCGAAGATCCATAGGCGTGCACGCTGTCAAACGCATCCTTGTGCACCAGCACTTGGTTGAGTGCTGCAGCGGAACTTCTTGGAAGTAAGTGGGAGTCTTCCAAGGGTTCACAGCCACATGGTAAGGAAAATGCTTGAACACTTGGCACGATCGGTTGAAGCGAGGCTCTGCGTGTTCTCAAAAGTTGCGGTCGAATCCTATACTGCTCATGCTGATTTTGACAGGGTTTTGGCACCGGAGGTTCACGGTTCAAGCAACCGGAAATTCGGAAGCCTCACCCCTTCAACAGCTCAAGCCAAAGAGCTCGGGTCCTAAAGCACCTGAGAATCCCAAGCCCCAAACCCCCTGAACCAATTGCAAGCAGATTTCTTGCCCTTGCAGATCCTTACAGCTCTGACAAATCTTAGCAGGACCCATGCCACAGCAGATCCTGATCTACAGCCGACTATGGCTGTCAAGCCCGGATCCGCCCTCGAAGTGCAAACTCCTCCCTTCCTTTGCCGTGGATCTCCGAGACCTGATTTCGCCGATCGCAGCGCTGGGCCTGAGGGCGAGCGTGGATGGCTTCAGGTTTTGGCACTTGTAGCATCAAAGCAGCATATTTCAGTAGTAGGGTTCTTACAAGCTTTAACTTGTTTATGGCATGCGACCTTTTGCACTCCCATCATGAACGCGACAAGAAGCTTTCGAGATGTCACGAGGTTCAACGCGTTGATACAGATCTGCGACATGCCGAAGTGCTCTGCATATCTAAGACTCAGTTCCGTTCACAGACATATGAAACATAATCATCGGCTGTAAGCTGTAATTAGAAACTTTGCAGGTGTGAAACTCTGAGAGGGAGAGGACACGACAAGCCTCTGTCTTCGGGCACAGCGCCAGTTTGCAGACAACAGTATAACCTATCCATCCGTAGATCCTCAACCATCCTGAAGCGTACAAGCCCGGAGCCCGTAAACCCTGTTGACCGTGGCCAAAACACCCAGAAATTTCCCTAAGCTTTCCTCCGACAAAGACATGGTGTGAGGAGGGCAGGGCTGTTGAGATGCCAAGACCCGAAGTGAGAACATCGATTAACGATCACGAATATTCGCAGAATTGTGTGCAGCGGTAGAAGCGTGGGAAAGCACGCCTTTTCAGGAGCTCTTTACATCCCTGCTCGTGAGGTGTACCACGTGTCTCAGTTGTCTGAATCCAAGAACAACCAACAACCGATAACCAACAACTAACAGTCAACAACCAACAACCACAACCACAACAACCAACAACCGACAACCGGACAACCACAGCCACAGCAACAACGACAACAATCATGGCGGCCAACGAGTCTTAAAGAAACGACGTTCGCACCAATGCATCAAACACATGACCCAAGTTTAGCAAACATGATTATAGGATCGGCTTCTCCTCGATATCATCTGATCGCTGAGGTCCGCGCGAGAGGCAGAAGGAGTGCCTGAGCCCACCGGACCCGCAGGATGGCGTTGTTTATAGTTCAGGGCCGTTCAGCCATTGAGTTGCGGGAGGCTCTAGCCTTCTCTCAAAGGCTTGTTCAGCGCTTTTGTTCGAGGTATCTGGCACCAAGCTTCCAGTGTCATTAAAAGTAGTCTGGAACCTGAAGCTGCTCTATTTGGGTCATCGAGCTCTGCACGAACTGCAGCACGGCCCACACATTCGGGTTCAGGTGCTCCCAGTGTCCGAAACCCGCTACCTCTGCAACAACGCCAACTGATACTGCTAGTAGTAATTGTACTAACAGCAATAGTGGTAGTAGTGGTCGTCGTCGTAGTAGTATGTAGTTAGCGCTAAGTCGCAGTAGTAGTAGTAGTAGTCGTCGTCGTCGTCGTCGTCGTGGTGGTGGTGGTGGTGGTAGTAGTAGTATAGTAGTGGTAGTACTAGTGGCAGTAGTGATAGTAGCAGCAGTCGTGGTGGTGGTGGTAGTTTGTAGGTCCGCGGCAGGGTCGAAACTCGAACACTTCGGCGAGATCAGCAGTACCTTGCAAACATTGCGAAGCTTGCGGGCAAACGGGAAGGTCGAGGTACCAAGTCCCCTAAGTTGAGGGGCATGAGTATGACGTGTCGTCCTGGCTTCAGGGCCTAGGATAGGGCGGCTAGACGATATCCAGTCGATTGCATGTATTGGCTTGCAGATTACACTTGCTGCTAGCACTCCTGCAGTTCAGCAGAGACGGCCAGAACCACCACTGCTACCAAATGCGCTAATAACAACAACAACAACAACAACAACAACAACAACAACAACAACAACAACAACAACAACAACAACAACAACAACAACAACAACAATTTTTGCAATTGAACGCTGCGCGAGCGTGCTCTGCGCTTGGC